TCAACAAAAATAAATTGGGCTTCAAGAGTAATATTTGTTCCGAAAATGTATGTAGCTCAGTGATAGATTCCATGCAAATACTGTTAAAAGGAAGTTTGTTTCCTACAGATGTTAATGGAACTTAGCCGGGGGTTGCCTAAGTGAAAGCCTTAAATTCTGTAGTGTGTTTGTGGCACTGGCAAACGTGATAGTTTTTTGTTTTTTTTTTAAGTCTGTTTCACATCAACTCTACAAAAATGCAGATTTGCACTTACAAATTCGTATGGCTGGAATTGAGTACAGAACATTATGTTCAGAGTATGGTGGANTTTTGTTTTTTTTTAAGTCTGTTTCACATCAACTCTATAAAACTGCAGATTTGCACTTACAAATTCGTATGGCTGGAATTGAGTACAGAACATTATGTTCAGAGTATGGTGGATGATATTTGCCAAAATTACAGACAGCAAATGTCAAAACCAAGAACTTGGTGTGACAATATAATTATCCAGGCAGTGTCCAATGCTTGGATCATGTGCACTATAGGTAGTGTCCATCGATATATTGGTCGAAATATCGACCGATACACGACCAATATATCGACCGAATATCAATCGATATATGGGTCAACATATTATCGGTCGATAGTCGGTCAATAAACAAACAAACTAACGATTGACTGGTGGTCGAGAGTCCGTGGTAGATATGTCGACCGAGAGACGCTCGATATGTGGCTTGTCGAGTGTCGGTGAGGTGTCGTAATCTCTTGGTCAAGTGTCGGTTATCTATCGGACAAGTGTCGGTTATCTATCGGTCAAATGTCGGTTGTCTACGCTCAAGTGTCGGTTACCTACCGGCCAAGTGTCCGTATATCGGTCACGGGGTGAGGGTCGGTCGTGTTCAATTCAGCACAGGACAACACTTTTCAGACTTAAATTTCACCATTCTCTCCGTCACTACTACCCTTGAATATCTTCCACATCAAACAACAACTCTGACGTAATCTATAATCTGTAACTGAACAGATGCACGACGACGACAACATCAAATCTATTTGTCTATCTTAGCAGACCAAGCTAATTTTATTCACGTGTGAAACGCAAGCCGGGTTCAGCTTTCTGCTCCAGAGCCTATGGCCAAAACGCAAACTAGCTCAAACAAAATACTACCAAAACTCGAACTATGCTGGCAGAATAAGGAAATTTGGTATTTAAACATTAAGCTTGTTGAAGTCACCATTTACTAATTCAAAACTTGCGAACATGCGCCAATTTCTTTCACAAATTTTATCCTACTTGAATTCATTTGGATTTTTTAAAGAGGATTTTGTTCCGCCGATGTCATCCACAATCGGCGAAAGCATCCATACAATTTGGGTGAGACTCATAGATAAAAATTCTTCCTTAAAGGGGATTTTGATGTACATTAATGCTACTTATTTTCGAGGAAACGTAGCAAAGATAAAAAAAAAAAAGACAAATTTCATGAGAACTTCGCGATTTGGCGGGAAAATCGTGTTAAAAAGGAACAACGTTTCGCTAATTTGTGTGACAACCTTTTTCCTCGGGTCCTTTATTTCGAGATTTTGCAGTCCCATTGTGAAATTCGCGATAACCTATTGAAATTAAGTACCAGTAAGGTACCTTTGTCTTCTAATCTACTTGTAATTGCTGAACGAAATGCAGTGTGAGTTTAAAGTGAAGTTTAGTTAGACAATCATGTATAAATAGAGAGGTTAAGCATGATGTTAGCGGTAGACGGCAAACGGCAAAGACAACTTCTGATTTTCAGTTCTTTTCTTCTAATCCGTAAATAAAGCCCACAGAAATGGAATAACGTCTCCTCCTATTCATTGCAAATACAAATAATTTCACTCTACTGTACACACAGCTGAAGAGAGACGACAAAAGTTTCATTTTTGCCGTTCGCCGTTTGCTGTAAACGTCGTGCTTAACCTCTCTAATACCGCACTGTACGCACGTCATTATATTTCAATAAAGGAAAAAAAGAGAGAAACACGAAGTTGTTCACGTGAGTGTAAATTACACAGTCAAATGCCTCACCGGTCGGGGCCTCGTACGGCAACATCTTCCACTCTTTCTCAGAAGAAACGGCAAACAATTTTGAAGGTTCGAGAGTCTCGAAGAGGCACAGCAACTAGTTATAAATCGACTGACACTTGGTGAAGTGTCGGTGAATTGGTGACCGATATAAATCGACCATTGAGTTACTATTGACCGCCTATCGACCGATACAATCGATCGATAGTCGACTGATACTCGGTTAAGTATCGGTGAAGCATCGGTGAAGTGTCGATGAAATATCACTGAAGTATCGATCGATACATGTTTATCGACCGACCGTCGAACAGTATATATATATCGATCAATATCAACCGACTATCTACTGACCTTCGGTCGAGTATCGACCGACTATCGACCGAAAGCCGGTCGATAGTCGACCGAGGTATCGACCGATATATCGACCCGACACTACCTATAGTACTGTGACATGTCGGGGGAGTACTCCCTTATATGGGCTGTATTGGTATGTGCGGCCCCAAAGTGTATGGTTTTTCAGCCGTTTTGTTCATAAATAGTATCAGGAGCCATAATCGGGGACGGAGACCGTAAGTCTTGGGATCCGCGTGCATCTATGATATGGGACAATTTTTCTATTTTTAGAGCAAATTGCGCCATCCTGACGTCATATATCGGCGCGGATCCACACACATGTCGGGGGCTCTCGCGTGGATGTTGTCACGTTGGGTGATCAAATGGTGAGAGTTGCGAGATTCTCTTGCAGATTTTTCACAGCGATGGCAGGGAATAAGGCAGAGAATAAGAACCAGGGCTCTTATATGTTGGTTTATGCTCTGAGCCAACGGAAAAGGTGAGTTTTTCAGGGTCGAGAACAAGACTTCAATTTCGCGTTGTGAATGAATAATATTTGCTCGCGCTAGTTGTACGAGTAAGATTTTGCGTTTGTTCTGTAAAGAAAAGTTATGTAAGAAAACTCTTTACTCTGGTATCGAGTTAATTTGTG